GCATCTGTAAATAACTCGGCAAAACTCGAACAGCTCACAGACTTTCTTTAGGATTCGTGAAAGGAAAAAAAATGTTTTGACATGTCAAAAATCTTCTTACAATTGTCCACGGATTGATTTTTCCGTAAACCACTTGTAAATAGCTCGTAGCAATCTTTAGGTATCGTTAACCGCTCGCAACAACACGAAAACGGGTCATAAAATGCCCGTTTGTTGCTCATAGTTATCCGTGACAACTCGTAACAAATCGTGGAATTTTCCCGTAAATACATCGTAATAACTCGTAATAATCCGTAGTAAACCGTAAATAGCTCGTAATAACCCATACAAACTTTTAAAGATACTGTATCCCTTTTGCAGCCAACATCAAATTCTGTAGAACTATGCAGGAAATATGAATATGTCATGTATGTCCTATCTGTGAAATTAAACGTTGGCAGTGTCCTAATATTCAAATTATGCAAGAAAACCCGTTTACTCGCTAGACTTTACTGTCAGACACTATTTTTCCTGATTGAGGTGTCATATGAAAGGGCAGAAACTCAACTTTCTAGAAATGTGAATTTTTCTTCGAAATTCAGATACCGCCCGCCAAATGTCTTTTTGGTTTACTTCCTTCAAATTGCTTTTAATCACTCATGCGTGAAATATGCATCATTGAGACAAAGGGCTATTTCAAAATAATTGTACATATGCTGCTCACTAAGTATTGGTTCTGTATGTTTAATTCATTGGGTGAGACGTTCTTCTGCTTACCCATGCCGATCTGTTCGATTGTGACAACCCCATCTATGTTTCATCCTTCATCATTCCGTACTCCATCTCATCCACAACTTCATTGCTACCCTTACATCGCTATCACTCTTCTCACACATAAACCTTTTGTATGAAAGTATGTTTTTTCTTGACCCAATTCAGAGGTTTATTTGTAAATTACATAACGTAACTTATGACAGCAAGTATTATACCCCCAACATTATTTAAAGACGATTTTTATGAATGCAACGCAGAATTTTTGTATAATATAAACTTTATAATTTTAAATAGACATTTAGATTATTTGAAAATGCTACTGTGTACTCTTCATAATTTCCCCTTCTCAATTATTGGTATCACAGAAACTTCATTACACTCTAATACCCCCTTTAAATACACGGATTTTTCTTACGAGTCCTTACGGATCGCCAACTTGTAGTCAATCGCATGCATCCGTAAATAACTCGCTGGTATACGGAAATAGCTCATCACAACTCGCAACAACTCGCAGACACTCGTAAAGATCCGTGAAAGGAGAGGCAAATTTGTTGACATGTCAACAATCTTCTTACGATTGTCCACGGATTTATTTGTCTGTAAATAACTCGTAAATAGGTCGTAACAATCCGTAAGTATCGTAATATTTTTTGTAATTATTTGTTACGGCTAGTTTACGATTTGTTTACGGATTATTTACGATTGCTTACGTGCTGTTCACGAGCTATCACGAGCACTTAATGTATAGTAACGAGTACTTTACAAATATATACGTATACTGTACGTATACTTACCTATTGTTTACCTATCATTACGTAATGTTTACGATTTTGGTAAACGTATAAAATCTGCAAAATCGTAAGGACTTGTACATACTCTTTACTAACTCGTAACTATTCGTGATAACACGTAAAGCAGGGCTCCCACTTAGCCGAGTTGTAATCTCGAGTTGTGGCGAGCTGGCGCGATCTTATGGCAAGCCGTTTTATTATTAATTGATATCAAGAGATCAATTATTGATATCAATAAATAATTTTACGTTGTAAAGCAATGATAATTCTTAATATCAACGGATTCGATTTTATGATATCAAGAAATATGTTTTAATGATAAAAATTAAAACGGCTTGCCATAAGATCGCGCCAGCTCGCCACAACTCGAGGCTCCAACTCGGCTAAGCTTTAAGTTTATGGAACTCGATGAGTTTTTCTCTCATGGTTTAGACATTATTTATCATTCCGGCAAAGTATGTGGTTCATAACGGGTTTTTATCGGAATATCTTACAATTAAATGTGAAGTCCCACAAGGAAGATATTAAGTCCCCTTCTCTTCATATTGTAAATTAATAATACAATCAATGCATCATCCCTTTAACCCATAGCCTGCCATGAGCCTGCATGCATGCTACCTATTGAGGGCCATGTGCGTGCAAGGGCGCTTTCGTAAGAGCAGGTATTGTTCATGCTCATTGGGCTGTGCTGTGTGTTTCGCACTCACCATTCATAGAACCTTCGCGTTAATCAGATTATCTCCAAAACAACCTGGCAAAATGGGGATTAGCCCTGTGGCACGATAAGAGTTAATCATTTTCATATTGGCTGACGACATCAACAATTGTTATTCTCATGACAATTTGGATGCCATTATTCATACACACGATTTAGATTTACCTTAAGTATCAAACTGATTTAAAAGTAATAAACTATCTCTCACTATCAACAAAAACGACCTCAATAAACTAATGCTAATGCACATACTCCAGATTTTTGTTATAATGTTGTATTGATATAGCCTTAGAACGTAAAAATATACCAGACTTTTACGTATCCTTATTGATGAGAATCTGAGCTGGAATGAACACATACGACATATAATTACATGAATGTTTAGGGATATTGGAATACTTTATAACATAAAAGCTTATCTTCCTAAAAAGGACCTTTTAAGGCTCTATAACTCGCTCATGTTGCCATACATTTGATATTGTAACTTGGTATGCAAAGACAAAAATCAACTATCTTTATTTCATGCAAAATAAAGTGCTTCGTGAAAGTGCTGGCTCCCATTATTCAGCCCATAAAAAACCTATTATTTAATGAAGTTACAACATTGACAATTTTGTATATAAAAGCACAACGGAGTTTGACCTTCATAATCAGTTACATGAATAACCTGCTTCCTAATTCGATTTAAGAATATTTGCGTATTAAATAACACTATGCATCCTAATCCAACTCAGAATTCATTAAAGTTTCATTTGATAAATCTTAAATTATTGATCCTGCATAAACCAATAAGACTTCATGGTCCAGATTTATGGAAGATACTCCTAGACTTAATACAAACAGGTAAAACCCTTAATCTATTTTAATTCAATACGAAGAAAGCATATCTATCAGAGTAAACTGATTGATCTTTTCCCATTGCTGAATTGATATCCAATATTTATTTTTTTTATTCCTATAAAACATCCATCACTATATTTTATATCTCCAGTATACTTATATAACTTTTCTGTGTCAGACATATTTACATTATCATGTTTTCACCATCATCATTATCATCAACATCCTCATCACTATCACAACATCATCACCGTCACCGGTTTTTGTTTACATTTTTTGTTATAATCACCCCCTCCCCGGGCTATCACGCTACCTAGCAATCTCTTATTGTAATAACCCTTCTTCTTCTGCAACTGTTTTAATGAATAATTCTTGGTATTGTACTATCAGTGATTTTTTTTGTAATTTCATCATTTATTATTATTAAATTGTATACATATTCAAAAAATGTTTATATTTTGCATAATTTTATGTTATATTGATAAAATGTAATTTGATTTATATGTTGCAGAAGAAAATCAGTTCAATTTAATAATTTTGTCTACCTTATATGGCAACTCATTTTACGTATGTTAGATTCTTATACAGCTTTATATTATTCTTTTCAGTAATAAAAATTTCAAAATGTTGTATTGCTGCCCTGGGATCAATATTTTCAAATCAATTAACAATCCACGTGGGCCTGTGTTCTAGAAGAACGATCACGTGGACAGTTTTCCTCGAAAATCCCCCTCCCCCTGACAAAAACACCATCAGCATAGACAATCATCCCGGGTCAATTACTCAGGAAAAGAAAAGAAAAGAAAAGGGGCACTTATAGCGCCACCCCTATCCTTCATTGAACAATGGAGCCATCGTCCTGGGGGTAATTTCCTTGGAGGTAATTGTCTTATGCGGTAATTGTTATATGGGGTAGTTATCTATTAAGTGATTGTCCACTTGATAGTTTTACTAGAATGAAGGTCTGCATGAATCTAGGATATATTTGACCAAGTACTTAATTATAACAAGCTGCGAATTGTCTTGGAAAAAAGATTATCAATCTTAAACGGATAGTTGAGTTCTTATTTCAGACCGCAAATGCCTTCAAAGTACATGGTTATTGCTCTTATTCTTTTGTTATGACATTTGTAGTGTTCTTTTTTTTTAGACCAAAAAATGTGTGAAATTTAGCCAATACGATCATACCAATTCAGATTCACTTTAAAAAAGATATCGTGACCGTTAATTAATTAATTAATTCATAATAACAATACACGGGCCGTCTGGTTTTGCGTTTTATAACCAACGCGAAAAAGCCAACAACGACATCGGCTGGAATAAAATAAATAAGGTGCTATATCGTCTTTTTCAACGGCTGTTTCAAATTATCGAATTATTTGTGGGGCACCACAAATATTAAAAATGGTTATATTTAAGGATATTTCAGCCGTCTCTGAACCGATTTGATCAAACAAAGACGATTTTGTTATTTAAAATGTATGTTCTTTCAATTTTCACACTCAGTTTTTCATTATCTCACAAAACTTTAATTATCTGTTGTGCCCTCCGCAACAAAAGTCAGCTGTCCCTTTAAGTTTTGTCACAATCACTGACGAAGACGTAAAGTTTGTTGAGACTTTGTGACCTAATAAGAAATGTTGAATTTAAAGCATTAAATTTATCATCTACATTATTAATTTGCGTCATCCTATTCAATTACACAATACAAACATAGATGTAAACACAATTATATTTGTCTGACGTGAGCACTTTACCATCTTTTTCATGTAAACTATATATGATAAACACCCGTAACATGCACGTATTCACGCAACTTGTTTTATATCATCGATCATTGAGATGCGATGGCTCAGTGTTGGAGCATTGGTCTCGTAACCGGGAGGTCCCGGGTTCAAAACCAAGACGATTCTCTAGTGCCCTTTTGTAAGGCATTAATCCTCATTACCAAGTCCCTCGGATAGTACTTAAAGCCGTTGGTAGCCTGGTTTCTTACTAAAAAGCATACACATGCTTTTAAGCATTCAGATAACACAAATCATTGAACCAAACAGAACCTAACCAAATGTATAATGTTTTTTTTAAAAATCACGTATAGCTTCCTTGGTCCGCAATCCCGTAAGCACAACTCGATACTCTAGTCATACTGTACGTTCTGCTATATGTATTTACATCCCACCAGTTGAGCTCCCCGAATCCAAGCTGACGACAGATGCTCTCCGGCTTCAAAAACAATACCAATCATACTAAAAACTGCCATACAATTTACTCCAACTGCCACTTGACAGCTTGACCTCTACCCAGCCTGAATACTTATCAGGTCCGTAATTGAGTCGCAAACCTGCATCACCTGTTAGATTGGAAAGAAGAAAAAAAGAGTCTTATCAAATATCAGCAATAAATAAAACGGTAGAAACATTGTACACCTCACAACGGTCTAAACTAATTACTTCATGAATTTTACATCAAGCACGTACGGTATCGGATTACATGACATACAAGTTTGAGCCTATACGGACAACTGGAATGTATCATACAGCACTGTCAAATCGTACCGTATAGACATCTCCATTAAGTACTGATATACCTAACGCTGAATACCAAAACCCCATAGCAAACACGGGATTCATTATATAAAAAACATGAATAATTTAAAGGAACGATTTGGTTTTTAATTAAGTTAATTGATCGAAACACAAATAAATGTTACTGCTTACTTTAATCATTTACGATTTCATTATGATTGGATTTATATTATTAGTTTAGAAATCAATGAGCCTTTTTAAACCTTCAAAGAGTTAATTGTAAATTAAATCAAAAATGTATTTCCACTTTAAATCACTTACTTGAGGGAGGATAGCAGACTATGCCCTTGTCATTTGTACCTGATCGCGTTGTCTTATCTAGTACTTCGCATTCTGAGAGCAGACTTTCATGGCCGTAACACTTTACCCTATGCAAGCACTCGTTACCGACATCGCCGGTTACAGCAGGAAGTGTACCGCTGACCGTGATACTGTTGGCGTAGCCTTTGTTTAACTCCCGGCAGACCACCTCAGCATCGTTCATATCCCAGTCAGAAGCACAAATGGTCCCCCATGCGCCATCGATGTACACTTCTGGACGGCCGTCATGTGGATAGGGACTCGATGTCATAGCTTTAAACCGCACTTCATATTCTGTCAATTTTAAGCAGAACAGACACGTTATTGATGTACCGATCCAGGAATTGAAAAAAGGCAGTAAAAACAAATTATTATTATATTGTATCGCAGATGGAAAAGGTTTGCCCTTTTATCCATTTTCCAAATTTAGCAGTAAGTCTGGTTAGAAAGGGTGATTTCATTCATTAACGGTGCCTTTTGGAAGTTCATTGTTTCTTATGATATATGTTTAAAAGACGTAAGAAGATTGACACCTTTGTAATCGTATCGTAAGTTGTAAACACGTTGTTTGGGAAAAGTGGGCTAGACCTATTGTACAAGTACATTCATTCACTGTAGTACAGCCTCAAGGTTAGGGAATTTATTTTCAACAGAAATGGTTATCTATTTCATAACAGAGAAATGTAATAATTTATTTTAATGTGATTAAAGCGCGAAGGACGAATGATTGACAATTCATATCTGTAAACATCCGATGTGCATGCATACATTGCAAATAAAAACTACGTATAATACTTGTATCATTCAATAATATGTGCAGAGCAAGAATCGAACAGAGACTGGGATAATACTCACGACGTATCGCTGATGAAACGGAGAAGAGGCCAAAGAGAAAGCATAAAACTAGTATCAACTTCATCGCTGCCATCTTTACTTCAGACTCACAGCAAGACGAACTAATTAATGACAAAAAAAGTTTCCGTCATCCTTCTAATATATGCGTCTAGTGCAGCAATGGAAACGCGCGAAAACGTGCGAGAACAAATGGCGCGCACACGTAATTGTGGTAGTTTCAACGGCCAATGAGGAAATACAGAAAGATAAACAAACTTCGCTTGAAAGAGTAATTATACCAGAGAAAAACAGGAAGTACCCACTTTCAATGCGTCAACCGATATTATTGTATCATTATCAATGTTTTGTTTGTCATGCCTTTGAGTAAAATAAAAACATAATTGCCCCAACTGAAGAAAAAAACATCATTCTAAGTTACATCTGTCAATAGAAAGACGATATCTATATGTCAGTGTGTCACATGTCATCTTTATTATTTCTGGAATCTTGCCAATGAGGAAATAACCAAATGGGTGTCCATGTCTATTTTTTAGTTTCTTCTTTTTCAACGTTTGTTGGTTTGTTTTTAACATATTTAGTGACAAGGTTCAGTATTAATTGTTGAGCCCGAAATCATAATACTCGTTAGGATGTTTCAAAAATCACAACAAATTATACTTTTCGCCATCACACCAATTTCACTACAATCTACAAAATAGAAGTATACATCTAAACAAAGATTTCTTTTTCAAAAGACGGTTCAATTTCTACCATCTGTTAAATATGAAAAATAGCTTGAATAGTTATGTTTCGAGTAAACGATTTTGCTTTACTCATAAACACGCTCTACAAACTGATATACGTTTATGTATTAAAACTGCATTCATTGTTTATTTAATTCATTATAGGAAAACATTTTGATAGTGTAATTAGCATCAGCTTTATCAATGGAATGAGCATTCTATTCTAGGAGTAAAGTTGACAACCGATAAAAACTGCTTCAGTTTCCAAAAATATTTTGAGATGTTTCGCAGTATTAAGAGATTCTAATTTAATATGTTTGGTACTTTCATATTCTGATTTATTTTTGGAAACAAACTTAAATTGATGTTATATTCTAATTACGTTATCTCTCAAAACTCCAATTTAATAGATGAACGTATACACATACTTCAACGTGCGCTTTGAGAACGTAACTACTAAGAAATAAGTTATATTAAAAAAGAAGCACGAATTTAAAATTGCTTTTAACAAACAAGGAAGGAAATCGAAGAAATTTGATGATCACGCTTTACGTTTCAAATCCTTCCAGGCTCCATTTCGAAACAGGCAAAAAGCCAAAGTATTCTTATCAAGCTAAGATTTCATAAACAAACCTCTTGAAGGCTTGCATGACCGTTGAGGTTTATCTTTCAGCCACATCACGAGAACTTACATAACTAAAATAAAAAATATAACTAACTCAACAAACCGCAGAGCGAGATAGATTTGTTATTGCAGTCCGAATCGTTTGTAGCCATTACTACAATGTTTCTGCCCATGGTTCACATGAAATCTTTGAGTCAGTTATTGGCCCTCTAGGTGAATTAACGAATCATTTGACAATACAATGAACCTGGACACAGGGCAATTTGGAATGAGGAAATAAATATAAGGATATTTTAAATGATAAATTCATTTTTAAAAAAAGGAAGACATCCATATTACAGGGGAAAGTATTTGAACAGATCCAGGGTATTTGTTTCAATATTATGAGTTGGCTCTTTATTTTGTTTATTCACATGTGTTTGTAATTGCAGGGTAATTCAAATAGCAGAAAAACAGTATTTAATTTTGATTTTGAAAAGAATATACACATAATTGTTTCATTTTTAGATCTTACTTAAGACAGATATTCTCGAAAGTAACGAGTGCAATTTTTTTAGACACGTCATTTAATTAATATACTAAAAATAGATTAACAGTTATTTTTAAAATCAGTTTTGAATTATAGACTGGCGAGAGGAAAAAGTCATTTGAGCGTATCACTTTCAATTTAAATCAGCATTCTTTGAGACCTACAAATTAAAACTTTCAGGAGTAAGTATATATCCAGAGTATATTTTGCCTCAATACAGTCAAGAAGAAGAGTTTCGTTTATTTGTATGCCATGTACATGTATGGTAGTGCCTATAATTATTAGCAGTGAATCTTCATGATAGTCTTCCCTTGCATGATTATATAATGAGATCTTTTGAAACGTTTCTGATTTGACATCTTTCAGGACTCAGGAGGCTTTCTGGATAGCGTCTCTTGATTGCAATAATTCACGCCATGTACGATATCGTATAGCCTGGCTAGGAGAGTCCGACAAAACAAATCCAAACAAGAGATGTCTATGCCTTTGAATCTACCATTCAACCCTGTCTGTTAGGATGTGGGAATTTTTTTGTAACAGTCATACCATAAATGATAAGCATTTCTTGCAGTAAAGCAATCTATTGGTCATACAGTATTCAATTAAAAGTGTATTTGAAGGATTTGTCAATGGTTAGGGATAACCAGCGAATGATAAACTCATTTGAAGACCTCTCCTAATTGCGTGGTGTTTACATGTACAATTAGTAAGATTTTGGAACGATCGCATATAGCTTAATTGATATAAAGTTAAACAATTAGTATATTTCTAAAAGTGAACCATTATCATTAGCTGATGTTCCTGATGGATGATTTACTGTAACTACGATATCATAAATGATTAGCGTTCCCCTTGTATTTTGGGGGAAAATTAGAACATTTCGAATGGAATGCACATACATATATTTGGCGGCTTTTAGCTCAAAACTGTTAATAGTGATGGATAACATTTTGTAGAAAGTTTGGAGATATTGCGCATGGGTGTAGTGGATTGTAGGCATATGCTGTCAAAAAAAAAAACATCGGAACTTGAGAGGGTATGACAAAGTATCCCATCAGAGTCATAATACGAAAAGTTGATTGATCACCGTGATTTTCTTTTAATTTCCTTTACAAATATCGACAAATTTAGTCTGAAATGTATAAAATGTAATGAGTAAAAAATACATTTACCAAAAGATATGAAATGTATCGTGTACACGATATTTGGTTTACAAATAGGGGCGGTTGTGTGTTTGTGTGTTTGCTGTTATTTGAGGGGACACAAAGGCTTTCTATATTTGTATTGATATTTTAATGTTTTCATTTCTCTTTTATGTAGATACATCTATTATATTAATTAATATATTTGACAATTCACCGATCTTATATGGTTATTGTTCATTTCACCATAGTATAGAGATACAAGTATTGACAATATACAGATGCTATAAAGTATAAATTTATAAATAAATTATTGAAATATTGAATAATAAAACGCTACTGTTACAGTGCTGCATGTTTTCACGACTTTCATTTTTAAGAGTGTGTGGTAAGTTGATTATTTGTCAACAGATAAACACAGTCTAATGAAACACCTTAGGTCCAATATTTTCAACTTACCGATCAATATTCGTCACCAATTTATTCCAAAAAATTATACAGTAGCGTGTTAACCAGGAGGAGAGAGAGAGAGAGAGAGATGAAACTGGACTATGAGAAAAATATCTTAATTTCATCGTTAGACTATCGAACCGGCATTTAGGGAACCGTCGACTTTCAACAGTTTTCGTACACTTTTGACTGTATACAATTTAATTCATCAAAGTCCGTCTGCACTCCTTTTGTAATGAAGCAAACTGAAACAAGGTTTAAAATGTGATACTGATGTGTTTCTTTCTTAAAATAGATGAAAAAGAATCATTTTTTTTAAACATTTTTATGACAATTGCTCTTGAACTACACGTTTTATGTGTATTGTAGGTTTTAAACAATCACGTTCTGGAGTATTTTACTGTAATCGTTAGATAAGGTTCTTTTGAGCAAATCGTATTTTTCTCTTACTTTTATTTCTCGTATACTTTCTCGATTATAGAAATGGATGTTATTTAATTTTTCTCCACTAATGTAGATGCATTTTATTCAAACGCTGTTACACGTATATAATGAAATTCAAGGTGGTCAACATATGCCAGATCTCATTCAAAGATATTGTAGTTGTTGTATTGTCATATCGGAATATTGTACACAGCTGCGTATGTTTCACCATTTTTTTTATAAATAACTACACAATCGTTATATCTACAGAAGATAGAATAAGATTTTTAAAAAATGTATATCTTTCATTTACAAATATAATAGCTTAGCTTATATTACCTCCGTCCCAGTCTCTCTATTTCTTTCTTTTTCAATTTCTTTCAATTCGGTTTTGGAAAGGGAGAGGAATATATCTAATCACGAATTTAATGAATTATTTAGATTATGTCTTCGGCGTTATGACCTAGATATAAGAGTAGGAAAAGACTTGAAGAAAAAAAATGTAATGTTAATGTTCAGCAAGTATGATTGTAAGAGGAGGGAAAACGGAAAGGTTTTTCATTCCCATTTAACGCACTCAACTGTGTTATGTCAGATTAAAGTTATCATTATTCAATATTAACGCCATCGTACAAAATGGTCGTCATATCTGGGCTGTCTTTTTACCTTCGTGTAGACAGGTGTTGCCGTAAAAGCATCGCTCTTTCTCCCAAATGACGATGAATTTCATGTTGTGAAATCAAACAAAATAAGCTACAAGCACAGACAATAGACATACGTGTATTTGAAGGTTCATCTCATGATATCACACATTTTACTAATTTATGATCTAACAAAGAACAAAAAGTAAAACAAGAATAATACTCTTATAAGTTGAAATTATTACTCAAATAACAATAGAGTATTACATAATAAATTCTAATTAAATTCAGCCAAGCATACTCTATCATCAATATACCACATAAACCACACAACTGATCAGTTCGAAAGAAAAAAATGTTTAGGATACTTTCTCTTACGTGGCAGACAACGTCATTGTCGTCAACAGATGCATGTTCCGGAGACCAACTGTGGATAGTAATGGGTTAGCGTGTCATTCTTTGATCATCCAATGAACATCCAAAGGAAATGGACAAAAGTTTTTCTTTTTTGTTTATATATATTTGCTGATAGATGTAACAGAGAGAGAGAAGTTTTTCT